TAAAACCTGCAGGACAGGGGGCCTTGAGGACCGAGTTTGGGGATGCCTGAATTAGACTATTCTTATTTTTAGGTATGTAGGTGACCTTAAATATTCTGTTTATTTAAAGTCATAATTATTTTCTTTTTATGTATATTCTACATATACTAAACAGAACAAGTCTTTTAGTTTGGAACAGCCCAGATGAGGATTTCATGTTTTTGTAGGGCTCCATTTTGAGTTCATTTTTACACATCTTAGATTTATTTTTTTTTTAAATGCCACTATTCTACCACTCTGTATTCCCTGGAACATCCTAAAAAAGCAGATGTAAATCAGGAAGAGAAGCTTGTGAAGTCTGAGAGCGCCCTCCCACCTGTAAAGTACAATAGTGGCAGCATCATGTCCTTTTGATCCACTTAGTTACACGGAGGGCATCTTGAAATGAGAGAAATTATGTAAAGATGATCAAACCATTGTCTTGATATCAGAGAGGAAGTGTAATCTTGGGCTCAAACAGGCTATGGAAATGGAGAATGGCTCAAAACAGAGAACTACATTGGTTCGATTTCGTGTTCTGTACTGTGGAGTTGCTTTCACAAAACCCTGATCTCAGTCCAACAGGAAAGTGTGGCTATAGCTAAAGTGTATTAGCAAAGCGGGACTAACACCAGTTCCGTCATGAGGAAATGCCAGCAAAGTGCCATGAGAACACTGCCATCATTTAAAGCAAGTTATGTAGAATAAAGGTTAAAAAGTCTAATCACCAAATGCTGAGGAATGCAAAAATTTTAAATTGAAGAACAACAAAAGAGGCAGAAGGTCACTTGTTTTCTTTCCTCTATACATTATATGTACACTTAAACTGTTAACATGAAGACATATTAAAATTGTCCTTAAAATTGGTATATTCCTATATGGCCCTAAAGGCAATATTTAAACTGAAAAAAGAAAATAGTTGGTCAGAAATGTTGTCATGCTACGCTGCAGATCAAAACCTTAAGACCAGTTAAACAAAGGCAAGACTTTTTGTTTTGCTCTGTTTGATCCTAATGTTTTAAGGTAGAGACCCTTAATGTTAAAAGGAGAAATGGGAGCTTGAGAGGAACAAATATGTCTAAGTAGGGAATTAATTTGAAAACAATTTACCGGTAACCAGAATGGGCATTTCAACACATTGTCAAAAGTTTAATACTACAACTAAAAAAAAAACTCAACATGTTCAGTTGATCCCTTTCAGCACTGTATTTCAAGTGCTGAAGGCGACGTCATGAAGGGCTGTTGTCGTCTTCGAAGCTCTTCTCTTTGCAGACACTCTGATTGTTTCCGTGCTGCAGTCAGCACCAGTAATGACCTTTATTTTGGCCCAGAATCATCCTGCACAAGGACTGGCAGCCTTTTACATAATTCCTATAGTTTTAGTGCTACAAAATTGTTTTTTTCTGGGAGTCTGTCCCTAGATTTTTATTACCATAACCCTCAAGACCGCCTTACTGCATCTAACTTTGGACAGAGTAGAATGTGGTTACAGGTCCAGCTCATAATGAAGCTCAGCTCCATCCATCTCCAAAGTCAGGGATCATTTTGCCTTTGCCACCAGGAAGTTTTGACTGTGGAAATACTTGGCTAACTATGACATGGAATCCTTATTTTTATTTTTTTAAAGACGATTCCAGTTGAATTTTGTACAAATTACCTGCTTTAAAGTGTTTGTTTAATTCTCATTTGTCCTTCTAGCATTATGGAGCTCTACTTATTAGGATTGGATTGCAGTCTTAGTTTTGTTGCTGGTCTTTAGTTGTAATTCAGGACTGAATTTATTGGTGTATTCTAAGTTGTTTGACGCAGACCTGTTTCTATTTTGTTAAGGATCTGCTTCACTTATTCGCATATTTTTTTCTATATCCATAATTGTTTCTGTTTTTGTTTTTTCAGGCTGGTCTGATGGAAACAAATGGAGAGCTGAAAGTTTTCATCGATCAGAATCTTAGCCCTGGCAAAGGTATTCCCTAATGTTCGTTAATCTTTTAGTGTAGCAGTATATTTTTTTAGGCTAATCTCTTCCCCTGGTGTACTTCCATTTCTTTCCAGGTGTATGCCTTGCTGTTTACGAGTGAACAACAGGGGGCAATGGAGTTTCATTCAATAGCCCTCTTCATCACTGATCTTCCCTATGTCTTGTTTAGGTGTCCTGTCTCTGGTTACTGTCCAGCCTACAGCTGCTCCCAAACAGCTTCTACCCAAAACCCTCGGACCGTCTAACGTGAACGTTGCTACACACATGCAACATGTGCCACACATGGTGAGTGCACCTTAGGCCACCATAATAAACAATTACCACAGATTCATTTTTTTTCCCTACAGCTATTAAAACTTAGTTTGCTTGCAGTTCTTCATTTAATGTTGTGTAAGCCCCCCTATTATCATTGTGAGGTGACCGGGCAGAGGGTAGGTGCAGCCAGTTGATCCTAAGCCTATCAACTCTGCAGTCAGCAGGATTACACCCATCATCTCATTATGCTGAAGCAATGTATACACAACGGAAATCAGCTTAAATATTACATTAGCAAAGGAATAGATCACTTATCCTCTGGAGACTTCTTCGTGTTAATATTGGTGATGCTGTTATTTACCAAATGACAAAATATTTTTCGCCAAAAAGCAGACATTGGATCCATTTGGTTAAGTCTGTATATCATAGCAATAAAAAACCTCATTGAATTATAATTGTCTACATAGTAAAGCTGAGTATTGTTTACATCGAAGGGTCAGTCTGAGTTAAATCTCCCCCATAACCATTGACCCTCAGATGTAGCTTTTCTTTGCCCTGACATGAAGCTGACCTGAAATGTGCATCATGGTGATCCTGACTATCAGCTTGGTGAGATTCATCCAGGGCCCTATCATAGTCTAAAGTAACATAGCTTTTGCTGTAGAATCTGAAGTATCCGTAGTCATATCTGCAGTTTTACTAATATTTTAGATAGAACATAAAAATAGCTCTCATTGTAAATGTTAATTTCTCTGTTTGTCAGGGCCGTTGCAGGGTTTTTTTTCTTTCAGCATCTGATGCAATATTAATCAAATGGTTATGAAAAGTCATTATATGTTCAAATATGCTGAAGTTGAGAAATATGGGTTAAATTTCATTGAAAGCCCCTGTCACACCTCGACAATTTAGCCAGTATATGTCTGACGTCCCAGAATCTTCTAAAACGCTGGCATATGCTGAACTTTCTGTTTTTTTTTATTATTTTGAACGTAGACATAGAGTATTAATAACGAGTCCAGAAATTATGTCCGACAGCCTAACTTATGCATAACGCATGGCAGCATAATACCCACGATATGTCACAGGCCAGTGTGCTGAGGGGGGCAGCACACTGGCCTGTATTAAAAGATTTCTTTGATCGCCGTATTAACATAGCAGCTGTTTACCAACCTCCCCTATAAATAAAAAGAGAGTGGGTTTGCAGTTGCAGCAGATTCAGCTTTATGTCTGTTATGAAGTTTGTTGGTTGTAGCCTTCACCTTCTCACTCACCCTACAAGTGTGGTAAAATTGATGAAATCATGCTGATGTTGGAGGGCAGCTAGTATCTGTTCCCATCTCAGCCTTGCTAGATTCTCCATCTCATTAAATCTCTGAAGTCTGGTGGAAAACTGACTGTTTACTCCTGTGAAGCCCCTTGTATACCAAAGCGCTGCCAATACACCTTTAAACAATAGCTGTAAGTTAGAAACATGTTCATTGGTCGTCTGGAACACGTCAGATATGTTGATATGCGTTGTAGATAAGTTCTTTATAAGTTATGCACAAGTTACTCACAGGTTTGGAATAAGCTAGGAGCTGTGACTTTAGAGTAACTTACACTTAACGTCTGTCCACGGTCAGATGACTTACCTGTAACTTATGGCGCAAGTATGGCAACGCTGGCATACTTGACGTATGTCGATGTGCTAGCTTACTCATAGGGCTGGGCGATATAGAAAAAAAGCTTCTCGATTAAAAAAAAATGCATATTGATCGATATCGGTAATTATTGAAAAGATTTGAAACCATATTTTATGTGCAGCTCTGCCTGGACTTTTTATAATATTGCTAAATGATTTAATTTTAATAAAAAACACAAACACAGACTTCCAATTAAATATTTATTTAACCAACTTTTTTAACTATAACAGAATTGTTTTAAAGAAAAATAACTTAAGAGACCTGAGTTATGTTATTAAATACTGACAAAGAATAAACTAAAGTGACCAAAATAAATGGATCCCCCCCCACCACCGCTGCCCCCATTCTTCTAAGCTGAACCAGGTTCAGCTTAGTTTCCTGCTTTAACCTGAGTTATTACTTTGAAGTTTCTGGCCCCTCAGCATTTTTCTCTCAATTGTTAGAACTACGTGGGAAACTGCCCAGAACTTAATATATATATTTTCCCGAAATTCCCGAAGATTCCTCGGAGGAGAGCCGCATCGGGGCCTACACAGCTCGTACTCCTGCGGGTGTGAGCGGCTGAGATGATAAAAAAAAGTTGGTTGTGTTATCAGACTTCGTTTTCACTGGTTCCCTACACATTTTACAGATGACTGTGGTTTGTTTTTTGTCCGACTTGCCATGACCGAAATACTGCCAGACTGCCGAACTACAAAAACCCTTCTTTGGAATAATTTCCTCCGCCTCTCCTTGCTGCATCTTCATGTGCTCTGTGTTGTGGTTTGAGAGGGCGGCGCTTTGTGACGGCGTGTCTGGGTCCGCGATTGTGATTGGTTGGGAGGAAGCAGTGACTAGCATAAACCTACATGATAGGCTACAATGAGAAGGAAGGAAAACTGCGTTTCTTTTTTATCGAACTTTTATCGAGCCTATTTTTTTCTATTGCGCCACACGTCTATCGATCGATATATATCGTTATTGAATTATCGCCCAGCCCTACTTACTCATAACTTATACAAAACTGACCCATAAGTTATCCAACGTATGCCAACGTTTTTGCAAGATATGTTTTGTACATCGAGCATATGCTGGCTAAATCGTCATGGTGTGATGGGGGCTTAAGCAGTTGTTTAAAGCCCAGCTCTAATTCAAACTTTGGAATGTTTCTAAACACCCATATAACATTTGATCTTATATTTAGATGCTTTAAAGACTAACCGCAAGACAGAGACGTGGTTAAAGGTCTCTTCTTAGGTCAGCAGAGCGAACCAGATTCCCTTAGAGTTGCAGGAGCCCAATATTTTCCTGAAACCCCGTTAAATATGGTGCATGTTTAATATCGGATTAGGAAAAGCTCATACAATGACTGGTCATTCTGATTTATTGTCTCTGCTTACCTCTCCATCGTAGGTGATTGGAACACCGCAAAGGCCGACGGTATCAAACACGATTTTAGTTAACAGTCCACACACGCCAAGTTCCCAGTTCCTAACTCAGAGTCAGCCCGCTGATGCCTCGCCCTGGTCATCAGGGTAAGTTCCTGGAAAGTTGAACTAAAACCATGTGGATAATGATGCCTTTGCTTTCATTAGATACAAGGACAACCCTGAGTGTATTTTATTGTGATTTTATCCCAAAGCCCAATACATAATGTGGAATGAAAAGGTTTTTTAAAATGCATAAAATCACAAATAAAATCGAAAAAGTTTACTCTGTGAGCAGCTGCATGTCATTTGGGCTACGCCTGCACCAGATCCTCCTCATCTGGTCTCAATGATACTGTTTGTTCATTGATGATATTTAACAGACCTTTAAGTCCCTGACATACCAGGAGTTATATATTATTGAGATTAGGCTGGATTCTTATTCTCATTATTTTTCTGTAAAATATTTTCTCCGTTTAACAACTAGGCACTCAATTGTTTTGATTTTTTTCATTATGTTTGTGGATTGTGAAACAGTTCTAATATTCTACCAAGTAGTTTGACTCTATAGTGACATGTTGATGACTTCTGTTGCCAGAAAACGGGGTAAGAAAGGGGAGAAGAATGGGAAGGGCCTGAGGCATTTCTCTATGAAGGTGTGTGAGAAGGTGCAGAAGAAAGGAGTCACCACCTACAACGAAGTGGCGGATGAACTGGTGGCAGAATTCAGCTCTTCAGACAACCACATGTCTCCTAACGACTCGGTGAGCGTTTGAGCTTGGAGATGTTCCCAATGTGGCGTACAGAAGGTTTGAAAGCTGGCCATTTTTATTAGTAAACAAGAAATGTTCTGCTTTGTTTACAGCATGTGTACGACCAAAAGAACATACGGCGGCGTGTTTATGACGCGCTCAATGTGCTCATGGCCATGAACATAATCTCCAAAGAGAAGAAGGAAATCAAATGGATCGGCTTGCCCACCAACTCTGCACAGGAGTGCCAAAACCTGGAGGTAAAGATGCAGACGAGACTTTTTCCATCTTGGCGTCTCAATAAATGTATTTTTCCCCGCGGTTAACTATCAAACTTTTCTTTCTGTTATTCTTCAGGTGGAGAGACAGAGGCGACTTGAGAGGATTAAGCAGAAACAATCACAGCTTCAGGAGCTCATACTGCAGGTGAATCTGGTTCTTCTCCTAAAGCTGTTGTTTCTTTCAGATATAACCTTCTCTGGCATTAAATAAGATTTTTTTTCCCCTCTTTAACTGATAACAGTAAATTCAAAAAGCATTTTTTAAGAACATATTTATTTTTTTTTATAAGTTAAAAAGAAGTGGTGCAATGATGATCATCAATTTGTTGACTATTTCGGTTCATTTAGAACGATTTGATTAAATCCAGTTTAGTGACATGAATTCGATTCAGTAAATCATTAGCCAAAAATGTAACCAGTGAGCCTGTGAAATTAATACCTGCATACTGGAGTTCTAGAGTTTTGTTGTTTCGTTTAAGGAAACTTGAGTATAAAGAATATAAATGTTTTACTTGAAAATATTAAAACTTTAACCCGAAAGTAAAGTGCAAGCAACCCTTCAGGGAATCAAAAGTAGACTCACTCTCTGCTTTCACTGCTGTTGTTCAACATAAACGTGAAAAAGGAGCAGCGCATGAAACGAACGCAACACACGTGAATTGAACCGAGACAGTCGAACGGAATGGTTCGGACGATTTTCATGAACCGTTCCATCCCTAGCTTATAGTATTAAATAATTTATGTTAGCAGAAAGACAGCTGCCAGGTTATAATTGTGTAATTAGATATTTTACTGATAAAGAGCAGCAGGAATTCACACTGTGTCACAAACCTCAGAACACTGTGCAAAATGTGAATGCTTTAATTTTAACAAAAATGTATGTCTAAAAGGTGTAACGTTTCCTTTCCTCCAAAGCAGGACGCATCTCGCAACCAACAAGATTTCTGTTTTTATTTTAAGTAGGCCAAATCACTTAAAGCTACAGTGTGTAATAATTAGAGGGATATACAGTCAGAAATGTAATATATTATACATAACTATGTTATTTATCATCATCTACGAGCTCAGCCTCTTAACCTTAATATTTGCGTTGCCTTAGAATTCGTTATTTATAATTACATAGGAGCGGGTCTCGCAGCCATGGAGGCAGACATCTTTGCGCTACGGCAAGCGCAGAGGCAACAAACTAGCGATTGCGAGATCGCCCATTGCAATAACATGCTGCGTGATGATGCTGTTACTCTCCAGTATACTTATTCAGCAACGTCCCTGACGTTTCACAGGTAAATGATTCAGTAATTTTCTGTAAAATAATTTTCTGCATATATACCTCGGTTACTTCTCTCCGGCTCCTTTGGAGATCTTCAAGCCTTTCCTCCTCTGCTCTAGTCACCCCGCTGGCACCTCTCCCTTGCCTGGCCCTGGCTGCACGCCCACCCCGGCCTCTCTGCCCTCGTCCTCTCCCTCTTCCTCACCTTGTAACCCCCGTGCCACAAACAAGACTTGTACTCTAAACGTGGAATATATATTCTTCCAGCGAACACAATCTCGCTGTTAAACTAATGACTACAATTACTTCGTCTGTTTATATCACCATGCAAAGCAGCTCACCAAAACGTCACAACGATGTAGAAAAAATAACGGGTATATTTATTATCTTAAGTCTACATGAAATCTATACCCTACACAGACTAATGAAATACTATCTATGTAAACAAACCTCATCACTTGTGAAGGTAGGTGATGCAGACGTCGTGGAAGACATTTTGTCCCGTAACGCTCGCCGTACTGTTGGGGGGGGAGAAGCGGTGGGGGGGAGATGTTCATGTTGCTGCGGTCTGCAGTCTGGACGTTAGATGTCGCTGAAAATTACACACTGTAGCTTTAAATTAAAAGTAAACTAAAGGAAATGGCTGCTGTAATCTCTTATTCTTTTAATAAGCTATGTAACTTTGTATGATCCCGGGTTTAAAAAAAAAAAATTTATATTGATATGTGGCCTCAGCAAGCACCTGCAGCAAGCCTCTGATATTGCTCACAGTGGTCCTCTGTTAAATCAGGGGACTTGTGTATATGTCGACATGAAAAATTAGAGGGACCACTGATGTTAGCCTTATAATAGAAAATGGCCACGTGTATTTTCCTGTCAGATGATCAACATGATCTGGCTGCAGTTCTTTGCATATGTTGTTTTTCTTTCTGTCTAAACATCCTGGTGAGCTTTGTGCAGAGCTGCTGGTCAGCTCTCCAGAAAGGAGGACGTTACCTTGATGCAGCTGCACCATTACTGTTGATTGTTAATTATCGTTAGTAATCTCAAGCTCTGTGACTCATCATCCATCTAGCAAGTTGCTTTGAAGTCTGCGCTGCTTTTCATGATGTCACAGATGGGCAGCGCCTTAAGGCAACTGCCTAACCGAAAGAATGCGCCTAACGGCAGCGTTCTTTGACACGCATGGCCTCAGTCAATCGTTTCCTGATAAACGGTTTGTACTGAAACTGAAATCTCAATTACAATGCAAATTATAGTAAACAATAAAGGTGTATTGATTTACTGAGACAGATGAATTTAATCGAGTCTCGTTTAGTGCCTCTATCATTAAAAAAGCTTACCGTACATAAAACGCATTTAAAAAAAATAAAAGTAAAACACTTCTTCAGTGTTATATCCTAATATCAATAATATCGCTTAATTACCTTTTAAAACAGTTTGACACTGGTTCATCCAATTTTGTTTATTGTATTTTTACAGGAATGAAAATTGATTGAACGATTAAACAAACAATTGTTACACCCCTAGTAAAAAGCTATTTAAATGTAACCATGCCCTATGTATGAATCCTATAAATGAATCCTCCTCACTGGTTTATAGATGAAGGTTTTTTGGTCAATGAATTCCATGTCAATAGCCATACACCTTAAATCTAAACTTGTTGAATCAATTTTACTTAAAGAGTTAATTAAATGGATCTTCTCCGTTTACATAAAGTAGGCTAGAAAACTTAAAAAGCAAAGTGTCTTTTAAGAGAGGTGAAAGGCTTAAGGTCTCCCAGTACGAACATAGACTATTGGGGAACTTTGTCCACTGAGATTCACGAGTGTAATTTAGTTCTATAAACCAGGATGTTACGGAAAACCTTAAAGACTCAAATCCTTATTTTGCACAACAAAAAGTCCACCTCTGAATAACTTTTTAATGTTTTGGAGTGGTTTAGTCCAAGACCTGTGACATTAAACAGGCCTTTCACTAAGAGTAAAACTCAGTAAAGAAGAATGGGCAAAGATTCCTCAAATCCAGTAAAAAAAGCCCTTTCTAAACTCAATTCTAGCTCAAGGAGAGTTCGTACAACTAGTTATGTCTAACTTTAATATTTCAGGTTTAAATATATCTAAAAGCTTACAATATGCAACCTACAGAGCATTGAGAGGAAAGTTGTTACTTAAATTTAGGAGTAGAGCTGGTACGACATCTTTTACTCTGATGTAAAATCTGATGCTGAATATTAAAATGTCTGGTAGCTGCTTAACAGTTCATGGTTTGTGTGTTTACAGCAAATAGCCTTTAAGAACCTTGTAAAGAGGAATAAAGAGACAGAGCAGCAAGCAAACAGACCCCCGCCTCCAAACTCCATCATCCACCTTCCATTTATTATCGTTAACACCAGCAAGAAGACGGTCATCGACTGCAGCATCTCAAACGACAAGTATGTGACCTTCAGCTCTTCTATGTTTTAAATTAGACCTCAGGTAGACGAGAGAAAACATGGCATTAGCACATTTTAATAGGGACTGCAGACGATGGGTGGTCTTCCAACCCAACAATGATCGAAGGAACACAAACTGAGATTATGAGGAGATTATGAGAATTGTACAAGAAGGCTTCAAGCTTGTAAGGTGTTCAAGAGGAGCTGAAGGAGCAAGAGTTTTTTTTGCTTTTCATAGAAAAAGCTACTACCTTTGCGTTAAGCTCAAATAACACATAATGGTTTCATAGATTAGTGCTTTAAGGAAGGGTCAAAAGCTAAAAAGTATCCAGTAACTTTGATAAGTTCTTGATTAAAATTGTACGCATTACTACAAAAGATAAAAATGTATAGTTTTCAATAAGTTTATGAGAAGTTGGAAAAGTTTCCACCACATTTAGTAAGGTTGTTAATCATCAAAGGGTTTTAGTAATAAGGGGGTAATAAGACTTTTGCAGGGCGCTGAATGTGTTTAAGCAAAGCTGTCCTGATTTATTAGCCTTAAACCCTTGGTTGCTAGGACAGGCGCTGGCTTTGGAAACTATGCCTGTTATTTGTTGTCCCCATTTTAAAATTAGTGGAACAGCATCGTCACACATTCTGATGCATCTCACCTAATTCCAGTCTTTTCCAAAACTAACTTTCTTTCAAATGAAGCCTCTGGAATCTTAACTATGTCTTTGTCCTGCTCCTCATCTCCAGGTTCGAGTATCTGTTCAACTTTGACAGCATGTTTGAGATCCATGACGACATCGAGGTGCTAAAACGTATGGGCATGGCCTGTGGTTTGGAGGTGGGGAAGTGCTCTCCAGAGAATCTGAAAATTGCACGGAGCCTGGTTCCAAAAGCCCTGGAACCCTACGTTATAGGTAAATACTTCATGATTTCTCAGTGGAGACGTTATTTCTAACATTTCCTGTGCGCAAATAATGGTGTTGCAGGGACACCTGCAAAAAAACATCTCCATGGCTACGTTCACACGGCAGGCCTTGGTGCTTAATTCCGATTTTATTTTCTGAAATCCAATTATTTTGTGTGTAGTTGCTCACATACAAGTCATATCCGACTTGTATGTGTGATATCCTGTGTGAACTGCATTCATACAACAAGTGTCCTGCATGCGCAGTAGGGGACGCAATGACGTCACAAGCGAGCATGCTCTGTGTTTAGCAAACAAAGATAGTAAAGCTGGAGCACATCTAGCGATATTTCCCAACCTCAGCCAGTGCATTAAAGAACACAAACTTTTAAGGTGGTTGAAAATAAAGACTGCTTTCCGCATTATCGTCCGTCATGGTGGTTGTTCTTTACATTTCTGCTTAGCAAGACGTAGTATAGTGATCTTTGTCGAGTATTAATGGCGTTCAGGACCATATAGCCAAGGTAAGCTGGGGTCGCATTGGAAAGAATTGGATCTGTGTTTTTCTGACTGTGATGAAAAGGGCAAAAAAATCAGATTTGGGTAAATTCAGCCTGCTGTTTGAATGTAGCCTATTTAAATTAAACAGTTTGACCTTTTTGAAGGGATTAATGGAGAAACTACTCCCCTTTCACACCAAGTTGTATAAATCTTAGGGGGACCTGTTATTTAAAGTAGTGAATACAATTTATTTATTAACTGCTTTCCCCCCCCTTATTTCTTAGAAATGGCGAAAGGACCCATCAGCAATGTCTACATAACTGGAGGCTCTTCAGCTAATGGAGCTCGTTACACTGCAAGGTGAGTCTTAGCTGTCATGTCATCTAATTGGCATCAAATCTAATTTTTCTCATCTTTTTTTTTTCTTGAAATTAATCCAGCTTTATTTTAATGAAAGACTTCATTTAGTTTTTGTTTTTTTCCTTTCGACCGTTTTCTAGTGACGGCTGCACCGATGGCACCATGGCATCCAGCTCAAATGACTCTCACTACAGCGGCTCTCGCGTTGAGACCCCAGTTTCTTACATGGGGGACGACGACGATGAGGACGAGTACGAGGAAAACGACGACGAAGACTAACTCGCCCACAGCTCGCCACTCCAACGAGCACAGTCCTTCAAAACCACAGTCATCATGGGAGTTGAACCCCACCCTTTTTGTGTGCGCTTCTTGAACCCCTCTGTCCCATGCCTGTATTTCTGTCTGGCTTTCTCAGGGCTGTAGATGAATATTGAACAAGCAGAGGCGGCGTTTGCACCCGTAAAGCTCTGCTCCTGAATCACGTGCACCTGCAGCACAGCTCTGGGGGAGGTGTGATCCAAGGGAACTGTAGTTGTTTTCTGACTCGTCCACCCGAAATCTTTGTATGTCTAACCCTCTTTTTAATAAGCCATCCCTCTATAAAAACACACTGCTGTTGGAGAATGTAAAATGTTTGAGTAGTTACTCCTTATTTTTATTTTTTTTTTGCGATTAACCTTTGGCAGACAGACATTATGATCAAAATGTTTCCTAGTCTGCCTTAACATGCTGTGTTTAGTACCCCACAGCGGGTCTTTAACGCCGTCCCTGACTGGGACTCCATCCGACCCGTCTGTACATTTTTTGTGTTCTGCACAGTGACTTCAGATAGTTTCCCATCAAGTTGGGTTGGCTTCCTCTTGTTCTGTAGGCAGCTGCTTTTTGATCCTGATTGCTAGTTTTGTTTTGTATCTGTCGTTTGTTTTTGTATTCCTGGAGTTGAGGATTTTTTTTTTTTCACCACCGCCCTGTTAATGCCTTGGTAGTGTTTACAAGAAATGGCAGCAGCGAGGTAAAGACTCATAACCCAGGCTCCTGATAGGTAAATAAGCTTTGTTTGTTAATTAAATATATAAATCCTACAAAGATTGTAGCTTATAGTATCCTGTAGAGGCCAGTGGTTAAGATAGACCTTCAGAAATTATTGATGTAACACAATGTGTGGTTGTACGGATCTTTGTGTATTCCCTTCAAAGATCCCCCTTTTAAAACTGAGCAACACATGTACTGACTCTTCCAAATACCTTTTTCTGTAATCTAATATAAGTTTGCAAATTAAAATATAGATTGTTTTAATAAGTTTGCATCAACTATTTTGTTAACCGAGGTTAAAGACGAATGTGACTATTGAAGATGAGCTGCTTGGCTTCAGTGGATTCATTCAACATGCTGCATCATGCGCCCTAATTTAAAATACTGACCAAATACTGTTTTTAACAGGTTTTATTCCAATTTTTATGAATTAAAATTTTGTATTCATATTTCATTTCGGTACACATTTTTTTTTTTTTTTTGCACCTATTTGTTTAAGCTATGGTGTATAAAAAACAAAACTGATGACAAGTCTTATAAAACATGAAAAACGGGATTCTTTACGGAATCAAGACTGACTAAATATTTAATGAAATCATAGCGAAGCCAATGGAATGCATCATTTTATATACGGTCGGATACGAAGCTGCAAGGTTTCTGCCACAGTTTTATTTGCCTTTTTTATTAAACTAAGATTGATGAACAATGGCTTGGATAATGTGCAACATTGCTGCATATAGAGCTGTTTTAAAGAAGCAGGAGAAATGTAGATGGGCTCATGCATTTTCGTGCAGTTTTAAAACAAAATCTGATGGATTGTTTTAACCCTGATTTTCATTTATTTCAGATTGAATCGAATAATTACAAGGCATTTTTAAATATAAGGGAGAAAATGCTATTCAACCTAGCCTTTGCATTTTTATTGAAAATCTGAGATGAAAACTTCAAACCAAGGCAGCTATAACTGTAAAATCTAATAGTTTATGTAAAGCTGATTTAAAATTAAATGGGTTTAAAATTAACAGTGGTCGATGTTCAGGTCTAGAAAGTCTTCAAAAACGTTCACACTCCAATTAAAATTGTGAAACTGATCAACCTTTGAAAGGATTGCCAGTTTACCAATGTCCAAGAGGACACACAGACAAAACGACAACATTTAAATCAATGCAGGGTTCAGATCCTCCATGTTGAGGTCTCTGTTGGAGTTAAAAATATTTTATGTCCAACATTGACCTAAAACCTACATTTTTGATTAAATATTCCAATGACATTGTTTTTTTTTTTGGTCTGCTAATACAAATTGAGAAGTGGACTCATGGTAATAAGTTGTTCTGGGATTAGGACAGGATATTCTAAAGAAGAGACTAAAAAAAATAGTCCTAAGTGATATCAAGGGCTGAAATTGTTGAAATAGTCTGAGGAAACAAATAAATATTTTCTTAATTATCTTAAAATCCATGGTTAACCGTGCTGTCACGTTACTGGAACTACTTTTTCTCCACTCTTGTTATACCAACTTTTTCTCATAGGAGGCTCTGTGACAGTAGTGACACTGCACTGGAAAAAATCTAAATCTGGATAAGTCATTTTTTCTTAAAATATGTACATTTGAAATGAAAAAGAAATGTTTCCAATGAAACAAGACAATCTACCTTTAAAATAAGAAACACAATTGCATTGTCTTATTTCAAGTGCATTTTATCTAAATACCATATTAAGAGCAAAAATACTCATTCCATATGTGAATATTTTCATTTACCTTCTCAAATTAAGGCTGAATAAACTTCATTTGAGAAATTTTTACTTATTTCTAGATCGTTTTTCCAGTGTGTTTCTTTTCAGCTACAGACTAGGAACTTTTCAAAGATGTCCAAAAACTTGAGCTATCCCTTAGGAGACTGGAATTTTACAAAATATTTGTTAGAACAATGATTAGGTACATGTTGAAAGGACATTCAAGACAAAAGTAAAGTTTTGGAATGGCCTAGTCAAAGCCCAGACTTAAATCCAAGTGAAATGCTGTGGTATGTCCTCAAACACGCTTTCAACATTTCGACATTTTATACCAACCATGCTTTAGTGTTGATTTTTTAGGACTCTGACCAACAAACATTAAAATAAACTTTATATTGTGCTTATTATACAATTCTAATAAATGAAATCGATCAATTGGAGGTCTTTTAACAATTTAAGTTTGAACAGGTTTTGTGTTCTTTTATAGTTCACAAGAGCTCTCTGAAAAAAAGTAGGAAATGTAAAATTAAGGAAATAAATGTCATCTATGCAAATTAAGTATCTACAAAATTCAATATATTTAATCACCAAAAGGAAAGAAAAACTCAAGTTTCCTTTGCAGCCATGAAGAGATGGTAAAAGTTATGTATTTCCATAATTCCATAATCCTGATCTGGAAGAAAGATGCTTTTTACAGCTTTTATTTTGTTAAAAGCATAATATATGCCATTGTTTTCCTATCGTATTATTTTTAATTTGATATGTCTATCTAAAATTTGCCAATCACATCTTGATTTAAAATTAAAATATAGATGAAATCAAGAAAAGTCTGAAAAGTATAGTTTAAAATAAAAAGTGCTTTCACATTGCTATACGCTTTGTTTCCTTTTAAAGAGAGATCCTAGTGCTAATATTTTAGCTTTAAAAGAAATAATGTAAATGAACTAGATGTCTGCAGGTCAGCTGGAGGCCAAAATAAACATAAAAAGACTTAATGAGGTTTACTGGCCAATAAAGTCTGAAGTAAAATATATATATATATTTTTTTCATATTTTGTTTTCTACATCATATATTCCCATGATCTGAGACTTCAAAATTAAAATTCCCAAAGGATGGGGCCACTTCGGCAAAGTAAAGAACAGCATAGAAGCTCTGCTATGTCCTTTTTATATAATCTTGCATCTTAATAATAATAAAGGTATGTTGAGTTGCTCTGTTATAGAATAAGTTTTGAAGTAAAACGACCTCACCTTTTCAAATAAAAAGCCTGTGATTTTACAGATATTTTCATATTTTATAATGTAACTAACATCATGGCAGTTTAATAGTACTTAACCAGTACTTTTTTTTTAAGACAGTTCTTGTACAGGTGTGTTTTGCTGAAGAAGGGTATCTCTGCAGTGTAATGCATCAACCTCTGTCTTACACCATGCACATGGTGTGTTCTGTATCTTTGTTTTTTTCACAATCCTATACTTCATATCGAGACCATGAAGTGACATTTTCATGTCATCTAACCTGAGCACACCCCATCAAATGTTTGTTGTATGACATAAAGCTTAAAATTCTAAAAGTAGCTTTTATTGTCATGCATTTGGCGCAATGTATTATTATTATTATGTATTATATTCTAAATCAAAAAATTAAAAAAAGGTACAGATTTTTTAGTCACCTTCACATAAAACAAACAAAGTAAAAATGTCGCGCTGTTCAACCAAATAGCAGCCCGCATTATTCTACGCTAGCGGAAGTTTTCACTGGATAAAATGCAAAGTCTGCAGGATTTATCAATTCTGTGAATCAATGAAACAATATTTAGACTTTTTCACTTAAATACTTGAAATTTTCATTGCATCGAATCTACCAAAGTCTTAGCCCTGGGAGCAGGAGGGTTTAATAATTCCTCTGCATTTCTTAGTTCTGCCTCAAAGACTGCATTTTTTATGTCAGCTCACGAGTTTTTACTCAGATTAAGGTCCGGGAATTAGGCTGACGACTCCATAAGTCAGAGTTTGTTAATAAGAAACATAGATGCTTCTGGCTGGCTGGTGTGTTTGAGGAAACACCCGTTTCAAGTGTATCCCCTCTTCTGCATAAAGGAACATCATCTCTTAATGTATTTTGAAGTATTTTATCCAACCAAAGTGCTCCATTGTGTGTAACATAATGACAAAAAAAGAATAATATTACGGGTCGTCTAACAACCTGCCTGAAGTCTTTGATAAAAAAGAACAAAGTTTACAGAATGTTTCTCCATTAGTTTACAGAATGTTTCTCCATTTCTTTTTAGATCAGCCGATATGTTCTGTGGCACATTTAACCCTCTGGCTTCTTTTCGTTAGAATTAGCTTTTAATTGTCAGTGTTAAGTTCTGAGTTGCAGAGGCCGTAATGTTAACTCTAACAAAAAGAGCAATAGGGGCTGTTAGTATTTTGAAAACAACTGTAATTTTAGGGAGATTGATTAGTGGTAACAGATATGTTTATTGTTTAATAGCTAAACTTTGGTTTAATCCTCATTACAACTTCTTTCATGTCAGTTATTATTTTTTTTAAGTTTTTATGGTATAGTTGCTTGTTTTTATAGACAGTAGGCTGACAGGAAAATATGAGAGAGGCAGAAAGACATGCGGGAAAGGACCACAGACCAGATTCAAACCCAGGTCGCCTGTGTCGAGGACTAAGGCCTCCGTACATGGATCATGTGCGCTAACCACTGCACCGCCAAATGTCAGTTATTTCTAACATTAAAACCAATGTAACCCTTTTGCACCTTGTCAGAGTGAAGGACTGCTCTGTCTTGGTTGATTCATTTAATTTATCATTTTATATCAGCTGCAGATTATTCTGCTTTGCGTTTTGTTTTTTCCCCTCACAGTATGACAAACGCTAGTAAAAATCTATTCTCTCTCACATTTCTTTTCTTTTAAGTGAAGCAGAATGAGTTTAGTCTTTTTGTACCAGTTGTCTCCTGCACACAGTTCTGGAGTTGTAGTGTTCCAGTAGGTGCTTGCATACTTTGTCTGGGGCATTGGGGTGTTAATGGATTACTGAAAGGTGTTGACTCAGGTGTGTGTGTTCCTGTGTGTGTATATGTGTGTGGTGCCGTCTTCAAAGTGTGCTGCAGTCTTCTCCAGTTGCATTTTCTCCCTCATGCTCCCTCGGTCACTCCTCTGTCTCCCTTCTCCTCGCTCCTTTCCCCCCTTTTCCATCCTAATTTCTTAAAGAGTAAATAGAAGCATTTGTCATTGCCTGTTTCGTCTTTGCAATGTCTTCCCTCAATTTCGCCTAACACTCACCTGCTTTCATCATGGATATTGGAGGACTGACCACTGTGGTAGCAAATTCTGCGTACATCAACGCACGTGGAAGCATTGATGGTTCCAACCCTGCAACAGCTCGGGATAAGAAGTACCATGCTCGCCTCAAATTGCCCCACATAACCGTTTGCGAGGGCCTGAGGGACACCCTAGATTTGGCCTTTGACTCGGTCTGTGTGGAACAGCCGATCGGTAAACGCCTCTTCAGGGAATTCTTGGAAGCGAACAAAGAGTATCATGGCGCTTCTCGTTTGTGGAAAGACATCGAGGGATATGACCTGGCAGAGGACTCCGACAGAGGAAAGAAAGCCTCCAAGATCGTCCAGAGGTACATGGACCCCTCTGCCAAACACTTCTGCCCGTACCTTCCTGAGGACGTCATGGCCAAGGTGAAGGAAAACCTGGAAGCTGTAGGGGATGATTTGTTCTCTGAATCTCTGGCCAAAACCCTGGAATACCTGCGAGAAGCTCCTTACACCTTCTTTCTGGAGAGCATGTACCTGAAAAGGTTCTTGCAGTGGAAGTGGCTGGAGATGCAGCCCATGGATGCTGACTGGTTCCTGGACTTCCGTGTGCTGGGGAAAGGAGGGTTTGGGGAAGTTTCTGCCTGTCAGATGAAGGCCACCGGGAAACTTTATGCATGTAAGAAACTCAACAAGAAGAGGCTGAAGAAGAGGAAAGGCTATGAGGTAAAAGCCCAAAGTCCATTTGTTTTTTTCCCCTAAGTGTTTTTCCTAGCTGCACTGAAACCAAAAACACAGATATGTAGACTTGTTTAGGAAAACATTTATCATGTATTCTCTGTTGATGATGCTACCAATGGTTCAGAACTGCTACTGTCTGTTAGTACAGAAACACAACATTGCAAAATCATTGCTGAAAATGTACAATCTGTTCACTTTCATTCTCATCATCTCCAAGTCTGCACCTCTCAGTATGTGGCTGATCTCTAGGAAACCAGTCATTAACAGTTTAAATGCATAACCACTATTATGTTGCAGCCTACCAAATATCACATCCCAGAACTCTCTCCTGACTGGGACATTACAGACACTGATTGAATGATAGTTATTGCGATTTGATATATTTTGCTGTGTGCAAAGGGCATCAAGTTCAGCAGAGTGCATACTTATGACTATTTTGTAGCTAAGCAAACATTAGATTAGTTTTTTTTTAATAGATATTAATGTGAGAGATCACTTAAGTCTACTGCTCTCACGTAGAAGACAGTGTTTTTTTTTTTATTTCAGTGCTTAAAATGCTTTATTGCATATATTTATCAATGGGTTTCTTGTCTACTTTATTGATACACAGGGGTCTGAATAATAAGTATTGTGTTGGCTTTATGCATTAGTAAAAGTGTTGGCCAAGCTGCACTAGTGCTAATCATCTTTGTCCCTGCCTCAGTCTCGTTTGGCTTTAGCCTGCAGAATTAAACACTGAGACAGGGATAGAGTGATTACAAGGGGCTTTGCTGAAAAGCTCCTCTGAAGGGAACTCCTTGCACAGTTATATCATGCCCTTGACTTGTCTGAGGTCATCTTGTGAAATGTAGCTCCCACATCCTCCCCGAAAACTACCGTACATGGACCATTAAACTAATGCACAAAGCTCTCTTGTAATTTCTGTTTTTCAATGTCACTTATGTCATTTTTAAAACTTCGTCATGTTTTTTTTTTTTTCCCCTGTAGGGAGCGATGGTGGAGAAGAGAATTCTGGAGAAAGTCCACAGTCGCTTTATTGTCTCCTTGGCTTATGCCTTCCAGACAAAAGATGAGCTTTGTCTGGTCATGACCATCATGAATGGAGGAGACCTCAAGTAAATTCACATTACAAAACCACAGAGAAACTGTTTTTTTAAGGCTTATTCTTCATCATATTAGCTTTGAGCATGAAGATAACTGATCTGAGAGGTTTGAACTGAAGGGAGCTGAGGGGTCTGGCAGACTTTCAGCGATTATCTCAAAGTCTGCGTCGCAGATCTTAATGGTGGATAAAACTCTGCCATTCAAATGAAGGATCTCAGCAACATTCATTTACAGCAGGAAGGCTCAAGTTCAGAATCAGTTGACCGCAAAGGAATGCTTTGAATGCTATTAAGATAAAACAATGAATCTATTTTAAAGGAAAAGCATAGTCTTTGGGGTTCCTCTAACGCTCTGACCTCTTATCGTCATCGAAAGTTAAAATCAAGTTCACATCAGTATTTACTGAAAAATCTGACTTCTTAAAAATGTTTTTAAATTTATAGTTAATATTCTTGTTGAAGACTAACTTAAACCTTTAAAAACCAGAACAGAATAAGAATTATATTATTCGTATCTCTCATCCACATACAAAGCTCCAAATGTTTAGCAACATTCTTTAAATGAAACATGGAAATCTGTTGTTTTCTCTGCTCAGATACCACGTCTATCTGGTGGATGAGAACAACCCCGGGTTTGATGAGCCTAGAGCCTGTTTTTACATTGCTCAGATCATCCAGGGCATGGAGCACCTCCATCAGAAAAGAATCATCTACCGTGATCTCAAACCAGAAAATGTGCTGCTTGACAATGATGGTACATTTTTTTTAGTAAAACCTAAACAATTTTTTAAAATATATATATATATATATATATATA